CAGTGGGGAGGAGAGCAGAGTAATGAAGCCAATTCATAGAGGGGGATTGTTAGGAGGCCATGATTGGTAAGGGCCAATGGGAAATTTGGCCAGGACGCCGGGGTTACACCCCTACTCTTTTCGAGAAACACCCTGAGATTTTTAATGACCACAGAGTGTCGGGACCAGGGTTTTATGTCTCCCCCTTTTATTACAGTATAGTGTCCCAGTCACTATACTGGGGCATTAGGACCCACACAGACCGCAGAGTGAGCACCCCCTACTGGCCCCACTAACTCCTCTTCCAGCAGCAACCTTAGTTTTTTCCAGTTTTCCATACCTGCTTAGCTTCAGTGGTTTGTCAGTTGTGAGTTGCAGGATGATATGGCTGATGTTGAAAAGGAATTTTGGAATGGCTATTACAATACACTTTTTTTCTCATTTTAAAGAATGTCAAATTGCACGTGGGTGTGAGAATTAGGGAAACACAGTCAGATGGGGTTGCCAGCTGAATCTGTATGTAAAATATCACACTATAATGTTAGTAGCCCCAAATTGGAGTTGGTTGGTTTGTGGTGGTAGCAATGAAGCTTCTTCTGTTTGTAGTGTTTGCTACTGTAAACAGAAGAGCCTCTAGACTTTATATAGGGTATCATTGTTATGAGATCATTAATTGTTCAAAAGCTGTTAACTGTAGTGGTCAATTGGGGCTAGATGTTCAGAAGACATTTACTCTTAAGAGTTCGCCAAAAAGGACACATTCATGTACATTCACATTCCCGTTCTTTAATGCAAACTATAGGAATCTCAATTATGGTGGCATATAGAATTAATCAAATGGAGGCTAAAGATTTTAATGAAATGTAAACGAGTATAGCAGAGAATTTGTTAAAGAATGTGCTAACTATAATTAATATAATATGAGAATTGTGGAATAAAATAAATTTGTTTAATCCTTCTCTGACTTCATGCCTGCACAATCTGGGAACAATTCCAGAGCCATTTATCAGAAGTGGCCCCAAAAAGCTTTTCAGTAACATGTCCTCAAAAGCACAGCTGTGCAGTCACTGCTACACAAAGTTATGAAAAAGATTATCCATAGAGTGCTTAATATGCTTGAGCAGTGGTTTCCAACATTGGTTCTGCGGGTCCACTGTGTTTCTATGTTTGCTGCTTTTCATTTTAGCTGAGCTCTAAATCTCTAGTCATTTAGACTTCAGTCATTAGTAACTTTATAGGATTTGCTTTCTTATTTTGACTTTTGGATAACTTTTGGATACATTTCTTCACTCAGTTCTGAGTTTCAACAATACCGTAATTCAAGTGTCTAGTTTTCTAAAACTTCAGAGTACAGAGCTTTCATCTTCAACTTGCGTATCTTTATTTCTACAATAAACAGCCATAACAGGTCAGCAATTTATGATGGACAGGTACAGGTGAGAAGGGCAATTTATTCTACACTCCTACAAGGAGCTTCTTCTTCTTTTGCAGAAGCCACAACAAATGTATTGCTTTTGATGTATATTGGGTATATTTTGAGGTATTGTTGTATATTTTAAGTATTAGTGTTGTTGTTGAACGAAATTAAATAAAAACACATTAATAAAATGAATAGAATACATCATTACAAATTGGTAGATTTATTAAGGCTTTAAAACATTAGTGGACACATTATTATATTGAAATACAGTGCCTTGATTGTATCTGCATAGTGTTAAGTATACCTGGATTTTCATCTTTACACATCTTTAAAAAAAATCTTATGACAATCTTTATGAAAGTGGAATTACTGCTTTTTATTTCTCTTCATTTCTCTTTGCGTTCCTTCTCCGGCCTCCATACCCTGCTAAAATGAAAAAGATTATACCCATGGCTCTAATTACTTCCTAACTTATTTCACCAGACTTTAGCATTACAGTACATCAGTTCTGTTGTTTTGCCTAGATGTTACGAAATGATTCAACAAGAAAATTTCCTTTGCAGTTGCTTTTTTATAGTAAAAAAAATTCAGATATATATTTAATATATCATTGGATTGCATGCAATGTAAAAAAGCTCAGCAAATTCAAAGAGGAAACTTTACAATTGAGGACTCCTGAAGTGCAGAAGGTAATTGACAACCAGTGATTTCCATACATTAATACCAGGATTTGACCCTACACTATTCTAGTGATGGATCTGGAGACCTAAGTAGTATTCCATGCTGATCAAAATATGTGCTAGTTCTTGGGGATTTTCTAGATCTTGTGGTCAAAAACATCTTAGAACCAAGAAGTGTCTGAATACAGGGTTTAAACTGTCCTCTAGGCCTGTGCCTTTACTGGTTAAGTTTCTTTGGGACACCTGGCAGTTTCTTATCCTGAGGTGCACCTATTATACCTTATATTCTCAAGAATATATTGTACCTTACACCTTTTGAGGTGATTGAAAGGGGGTGGGTGAGAAGGGTTTCTATTTATGTGCTGCATATTGTGTCTTGGAAAAATAAAAATTGATACTCAAAAAGATGTTTGTACCTCTTTTTATTTCTCCCTTTGTGGACAACAGGTGCTCTCAAATTAAATTCAGCTTCAGCTTATTCTAATTCCTTTTATTAAGGTGTACTGTCTTCACTTCTTGAATAACCTGTGGGAGAGCTTGAAATTATACCCTGTGGCTATTTAATGGTTATCTTAAAAATTGTTTTTATGTCCTTATTTTTTCATGCCATGACTATTTAATTCTTCACCAGGATCAAAAAGTTTGGCAACAGAGACAACATTTTTAAAGTTGTCGTTCATACTGCTTAGTCTCCCAGTGTAATTAGGTGACAATTCAGCAGAAATGTGCTCTGGATATCTCACTATTTTCACAGGTTTATACCACCTTAATTTGTGCAATGAGTGTTCAGGAAAGGAGAAACATAATAAAAATAAAAATGATTTCCCCTGTGTTGTGTTCTGGAAATTAATAGGGGAAGCCTTGAAATATCCCTTTAGCAAAATGTTTCCCACCTAAAACCCTTGGGGTAACAGTGTGTTCTGCTTTTCCTCCTGCTGAATTCTTAATCACAATTGATTTCAGATTTCAATCTGGATCTCATTTCAATATCAGGTGAACTACAACAGCAGCAAAAGAAAAAAAAATGGCACATGCGTCAATGTTCAGTTTGACGACATCACTATGGAAACGGGTTTTTAGTTTGTTTACCTTGACAACCATCTCCGGTTAAGGCTGAATTTAAAAGCACTGAAGCTGTTACGTTTCCTATACATTAACTGAAGTAACAAAATATATCTTACACATTTCTTTGTATATTTTTGTTACGTTTATTAAAGATAGTATGGATTCTAATACTTTATATTACTCTCTAGACCTCGTGTCTGGCAGCGGCTTAGTACTGAGTGTTGAGCAGAAGGCAGCTTTGCAGACTTCTTTGGTAATACTGAAAGGAAATTATAGATTTGAACGTGTTCTGTTCTGGGGCAAAATTCTGGGGATTAAAAATGATTATTTTATAGCTCAAGGAGTTACACAAGACAGAATGCGCGGAAAGAAGACGTTGTACAGGTAAGCACTTGCAACCATGCAATTTAAAGTACGAAAAACATTGTACCTAAATTTGCAGATATGTTAACACATAGATACTCTCTACTCTGCTTTTGTGTGCAAGTTGATGTGTTTGCACTTTAGGGAGATTTAAGAATTTCAAATACACACAGTGAATATTTCATTTCAGTATATGTCATTTTGGTGCAGGGTTAATGTTCTAGGAAGGTCTTGCAAGAACGTAAATTAGACTTAAGCAAAAAAAAAATATTGGAAAATACGCAGTTAATATCCCGTCTTCCAGACCGCCGTCGCTCATACAAAATATATTTGCTCACATGACAAATAGTAATGATATGAATTTATTAGAACGAACTCCAGAAACTGAAAGGTCAAAATAAGAAGCGATCATGCGCACCTACTGTACTTCTATTTCTCTGCGTTCCCATAACCACGAAGCCCCCTTGCTCTCCCACTCCCCCGCCAAGACAGAGACAATTTAAAACAGCCAGACAAACCTAAAATACGTTAATAGGAGGTGGGAGAAAACCTGAGTACAAAGTGAAAAGTCATTACGAGAGACCATGCAAACGTCATACTGACGGGAATCACAAGCTGGAACAGAAAGATCCATAAATTTTGAAGCAGCAGTGCTAAACTCCACGCTGTTGTGCAGTCTATACAGTATTTATGCAGCGCATCAACAACCTATCTGATCTGCATACAAATAAAAGTGTGTAAAACGTCCTAAAAGACTTTTTAAAAAGCTTATATATTTTGAATATTTGCTGTTTATCTTCATGCTTGTTTATTTTAATAGCTGATATAGGAAGGTGACTTGATGAAGGACGCCACAGATAAACCAAATCTCATCCTTGTTAGTTTGAAATAAACTTTTAAAACATCTGGAATAGTTTTGTAATAAACTGGATACTAATCTTCAGCTGGACAGAAACACAATATGAAAAAATTGAATCCTAATCTGTAAAAGAGCTGTTAAATAAAATGACGAATCTAGATGTTTACAATAATAACCAGAATGAGGGGTGGATGCAATTAGAATAATAAAGAAATAATTTAGAATATTACAGGGCTTTTGGACATGCAGTGGATTTAATCTTAACCTTAGCTAAACTGTTTTTCCAAACTGAATTGGGTGATTATAAGTATCTGTTTGAAAACAGTGTAAATTGGATGAGTGTGTTAATGATTGATAACTGTAAATAATCAGAGATATTTAACAGTGTAACAATTTAACAGTGTAAATAATAGTGGTATCAGTGATATGAATGAATGAATATTTAAACACTGCAAATTCATTAGGAATTATTGTGTACTTTTGAGAACATCGTTAAGTGTGGCAGGTGCTGTTGGCAGCAGAATCTGTGATGTTTAATATATATAAGGTTCATGTCTTTGGCTCTGAATGAATGTTAAAGAGATGATAGTTATCTTGGAGTTGTTTTTTGTCAATGAAGAGCACAGATTGTACAGTACACTCAGGGAAGTGATTGCCTATTAGTTCTAGGATAGAGGGCAGTTTAATGGACTGAGGAAAGAGCTCTTGCACTTGCAAAATACGTGTCTGTACTGCATACATCTACATAATAACAATTTCACCTGGCAGTTTGAATTGCATGGACTGGCACCTGCTCCCTCCCGCCACTGACACAATGATTACAGAGATATCTGTCGTGAAGGGCCGATTTATGGGAGACCCTTCCTATGAGTATGAGCACATTGAGACAAAGAAGCTGGGGGAAGGTGATGAGGCTGTGGAAGAGGAAATTACAGTGAGTAAAAACAACCCAAGCCAGATTGGAGCACATTACTCTTCCTTTATGAGATCTCCTTGTTGTGGATCATTTTCTAAATAGTGTACTGTAACTACTGCAATCCAGATAACTGAATTGATATGTTGTACAATACCATATTAAAAAATGTGTAGAAAAAAACAATCATGTATTCATACAGTACTTACCCATTCTTGGTGACTGTATTTCCCATAAATGCGGTTCACTTATTTGATGAATTGAAGAAATATCATAAACTCTTGTTTGTTTGGAAAATAATATACAAAAACCAAACAACGACAAACACAAATATTGAAAAGGAAGCTTACACAAAATTAGGTTGTTAAGAAAAGAAAAGGTTGGGCATACCTTGAGTACATCTGTGACAGAGCATTTGGAGAAATAAGTTTGTCACTGATTTCATAAGGCTTTATTTAAAAAAAATATTGTTGATGGTATTATGTAAAAAAAAAAAACAAAATGGTCTTTGTTTCCTGAATTATGGGGTTTTTACACATCTCTCAAATTACATTTTTTGGGGGGGATTAATAACAGGACAGGATAATAATGATCATTTTCTTGGAGTTACTTAATCACACCTAGTAAACCACTGTAATTGTAAAAAAACATACTTTTTTTTGGCCTAATGTTTTATTGCAGGTAAAAGTCAAAGAGGAAAAGCGGCTTGCAGCCACAATATCCATCATAGATAAGGAAGTGTCAGTAGTACCAAGGGGAGCATTTATCAAGACTCCACATGGCCATGTCACAAGCAACAGGAGTTTTGAAGGTACTTTGAGATATATTGCATCCTTATCTAAAAGTACACAATCATAAAACCATTAGTAATGTAAAACAAATAAGGTTTAGCCAACACAAGTTTCAACATCTGGCTTTATTATGAACGCATCTCTGAAAGGAGCTTTTTTAAAAACTCAGTCACTATTCCTTAAAATAGCGTATCATATTGTTTAAATCTATTTAAATCTTACTATTAACAGGTTTAACAAATTTAAGAGAACTATTATAATAATGTTATGTTACCATTGAAAGGTAAATATATATATAGCATTTATAAAGTTTTGCATTTACGTTTGAGAAAAAGGTAAATTAATGACTTATTATGGATCCAGTGTCGATATTTGGGATTACTGTACTTTAGTAGTGCATTCTCTTATTTAATTTGGTAATGAATCTTGTAGATATAGACCTTTAGAGTTTAATTCCTCCTTATTCCTTTTGATACTGATCTGCGAAATGTGTCCCCAGCTAAAAGCAGAAACTTTATAAAACTTTGAAGTGTCACCTATTTTTTGTATACCTCATCTTATACAGCAATAAATGTACAATTTTTATATTACTTTTTATATTCAAATTATATGCCAGTATTCAAATGAAATAGAATCAGATGAGGTTGATGAACTTCTCAGCAAAAGATTTTCCAGAGATGTATTATATGTAATTTTGTTTTTGATTTCCTAAACTACTTATCTATATATATTTATATTTTTGGGGTGGCCAGATGAAAATTTGTCAGGTTTTTCTTCTCTCTGTGTGTTTGCTTCACATTCTGAGTTGGGTATCAATTTTATTTTAGGGATGGGGGAAAAAAAGAATGGTCAGTAAAATTGGGTCAGTGATTAAAGATTAGTAAACAAAACAGTTATGTTCCTTCAGGGCTGTCTGTAACAGAAGCTGGAAAGATAAGCAACTATTTTCACTTTTCTGAACCGGTTAACCTTAAGAAGAAATCTCTTCTGGAGAAAGCTGATCTAGACCCATCAATTGATTTTCTGGATTCAATTGAAGAAGATATACCAAAAGGTAAGAGATAACAGGTAGTGCCCTGGTATTTTGGTCATTTAGAGCGCCCATTAGTTTGAATTAATTAAACTGCTAATTAAATAGCTTAGTTATTAGAAGCATTTATTCTTAATACAAATGTACGTATGCAATGGAATGGTATTACTTTAAAGATTTGGTGATAATTTTAACAGACAAGGCTCAGCTGTCTGTAATTGTTTGCCTTGAATTTGTTTACGTCCAGGAATTTGAACTTGTACAATTCTAAACGTTTTTGAACCTCAGTGTGCTAATTTAATAATGTATTGCACATAAGAGAATATTTAATTGAGAAGTTACTGATTAAAAAATACGTACAGTATTGTTACATTTTGGAATTACAGTGAGTCAGAAACCATGTTTTAAACGTCTATTACCAAACAAAAATGACAGCTCTCCTGGCAGTAATTGAAGACGAAATTCACTCTAGAACAAAAAATAATCCTACTGTAAGTTACAGTATAATAAAGCGCATTTTTCAGCGTAATGGGTCATAATTCATATTCATTTCAACATATTATAACATGCGTGATTGAAGTTGACACTGTGATGTATTAAAATACATTTCATTGCCAGTAACTACCGCTGCACGCCGTATTGTTGTGCATTTGATAAATAAACTTTGATTTGATTTGATTTTAAAGACGTTTTGTGATGCTGTCGATTGCAAATCTCCTCCAGTCAGCACTGAACCTGTGGTATTAGGCTTTGTTGTTTTGTGACATGTTAAAAGATAAATGGTATAAAAGTAGGTGGGTCGGAGGAGTCTGTCTACGTTTCCTAATTCTCCCTTGTGTGTGGTCTCAAGATTCACAGCCCTGAGCCCAGACGTGAGATTCATAATTGGAGATTGTAAATCTAAAGTCATAAAAAATAACTGTTTATTCTATATTTAAAAAAGATAAAGTAGAACTATGTTTTAATAGAAGAACCCTTTCGATGTAGACTTAAGACTTAGACGCAGAACCTTAATACTAGGCAAATCATTGGTGAAGCTCTTGAAACAATGTTTTGGCTATTCTTGCAAATCAGTCTGGTGTTGATATTCCAGCAGGATGGTGCTAAAATCACAATGGCATAACTTAAAGAAAACATGGCTGAGATCTTGTCATTGCTAGATCAGACAACTGCAACCAGACAACCTTTGCCAGCTAGCAGCAGCTGCACAGGCTGCACTATGTATATTATACAGTACATAGTTTTTTAAGTATGATTAAGTTCATACATCATGAATTTGTGCGGGTTTATAATGCATTTTTATCTGTATTTTGCTAACATATCTTGTGATTTTGTTTAATACATTTGCTTAAATTATTTGATTAAATCCATTAGGCATGTGTGATCAGTATATGTGGTGAGTATATGTGGTTGTATACGAGGCTTAAACCAAATGTATCAATCAGAGTACCCTTAAATAAAAGTTATGTATATTTTAGTGTAAAGATGTTCTTATCGATTTTTTATTGATTTCCTTGTACCGATCAATACACAAAAAAGAAAATTCAGAAAATAAAAAAAAAACAAAAGACATAGGAAAAAAGGAAAGGAAAATATATTTTTAATATTTTGATTTTACATCTGATAGGTGAAAGAAAGTCCTTCTCTGATCTTCTGATCCTAGCGCAAGGATGTTGAATTTTTAGATCTTCGTCCAAGTTATACAGTCATATTTTGGACCCCTTACCTTTTACTGCACTTTAGTAGTAATGTCCAGTAATTCTTTCCCACACACCAATTGTAAAGTTTTGTATGGATGGCTACATGCATCTGCCCTATAAGGAAAAGCCTGTTTCCACTGCTCTTTTGATTTCAAGTCTGTCTACTAACTAGCAGCTTTTATTGATGCTTTGACTTATCTTCCTTATGTACAGTGTATATATAAAGTTGGTTTTGCAACAGAAAAAAATCAACAATGAAAAGAATATCAACTTGGAAAACCCATGTTTATCTTAACATACTGTATAAACACTGTCATGTCTATGCCAAACTGACCCATTCAGAAGAATTAAAAAAATAAAGATGCTCTGGAGTGGTTCAGATATTCAAAAGTTATGGTGTTTAAAATTTTAAAAACAAATGGGAAGCTCAAGCAAGGTTTGTGCATTCCGAGTATTCTGGAATACCATGTTCACACATTCCTTACAGAGTATTTTGATTAGGATTATAACTACAGTACTTTCAAAAATATTCTTTTCCCCTTTTCAGTGTTGTCTCATTGCTCAAACTGAACACTGTTATAGGAGAAAGAAGTTAAATGTCAATTAAAACTAAAAAGAGAAATCAAAAACTAAAATAGGTTTAAGTATTCCTCCATTACTATGTTGAACTTAAATTAGCTAAAGTAATAGGTTTATTCCATGCTGAATGGAATGACACCCAAAGAAGGCTCCACAGCCAAAATGTGGTGTTTTCTTCTCTTCACAGCATGGAATAAACCTATTACTTGTTCCTTTACAGCCTAAGCATGATGACGCAGCTACCCACCTGAACTAAATTAGCTCAGATGTACAAAAATACTTTTAAATGTGGAAGGTCACTTCCAATATGAGCAAGTTCTATGGTGAAAAACAGTCATATCTTGTATGCTGGCATAAGGTGTTTGGTTAAATTTAATGACAAGAAGCAGGCCAGGGCATGGCTTTAAAACAATTTCAAAAGATTTATGGGCTCATTAAGAGCCTTAATAAAACAATGTTTGTGTACATTTTGCCATGTTTTACGGAGCTTCAATTACATTTAAGCATTTTTATCATAGGCATAATGACAGGAATTTATTTCACTGGCACTAAATATAATTTGTAAACAAATATTTATTAGGTTCTTAAATTACCCCTAACAAATGAATGATTCTCTGATAAAGGTCAAAAAGCCAATTTTGACCTTACAGAAATAATATTTTCTGTCATATACAATATAGAAATTAGATAAGGAATATTGATAAGGTTCTGCTCATTAACACCAATGGTGATTTTTGTTAAAAATGTTTTTAAATGCATTTAAATTCTTATACAGTAAGAATTTACTTTTGTTTTCTGAAACCATTCAGCTGCAAGCAAATCATTTATTTTTGTGAACTGGTTGGGGATGTCTGTAGACTTTTCTTTCATTTTTGTAGCAGCTGCTAGACACCTGTGGCACATTAAAACTGCCACCAGTGAAATTTCATTTAAAAGCAGATTTTCTGGCCAGGTTTCTCCTGTAAGGAAAAATAAATGGGCTCAATTAACTCATTAGGTAGTCTAACTAGAATGGTAGTCATGTATCAATCTTTGAATTCAGTTAATAATTGCTTATTGCTTTAATTAGCCTTCATTCTACTTTTGGCTGTATAATTCCTATAAAAACTTGAATTCCTTCTAATGCTCATAGTGGTAATTTTTTGGTAACTATTTTTTTGAAGGCTATTAAAGCCAACAGAAATAGTCAGTATTAGTAGACCACAAGACCACATACAGTACGTATGTATATTTAGACATTTTCTACATATTCTTTACATTTCTCCTTTGATTTGGCACAGGAATGTATACATGTGAAAGATAATGTATTCTGTGTGCATTGTAAAAGTTATGTATAGGAATGAATGATTGATTGATTGACACTGATTTGGGCCTCTGAAGCACAAATTATTGGATGTGAACACCAAAAATGCTTTTGAAAATAGTTTTTTTTAGGTTCATATTTAAGAGGTTTCATTACTGGCATTGAAATGTATCAAGCATAACAATGCATCTTAATATGTTGAATGTTGCTGAGCTTAAACAGACTATGTACCATGGAGAGAAAAGTATCAAAAATAAAATATGATTATCAGATAAGAATGATCTGAGTTCACAGCTGTTGGATCTCTTATTAGACACCTCACATACTGTACCATTGCTGCTGTTTGCAGTTTGGCAGATTCTATAACATGCAACATGCCTACTGGCTAGGAAGTATAAATTTTCTGTCTACAATATTCAAGGTATCAAAAAAACAAGCTTTGCAGATGTCATGTAAGACGACTGCACATTGATTTGTTCATAACACTATAATGTTCAACATGACCTATTTTCTTGTGAATGCAGACTAAACAAATGCAATATTCTGATTTTTCAGATCCTAAATTCATCCTAAAATTAGGTAACTAGTCCAACATGTTTGTTTTATTTGTTCATGCCCTCTATAGAACTCTAGGAATGTTTTCCCTTTAGTGCACTACTTGGCATTCTGATGAATAACTATTAGGGTAAAATTCAGCTGGCACTTCTATCCAAAGTGTTGTGCATTTGTACCTATTTATACAGCTGGGTATTGAGCTCACTCAGATTGCAATAGTATCTTGTTCAAGGGTACAACAGCAGTATCTGATTTGGGAGGTGAACCTACGGGCATCTACAGTAGTTAAGGGATCAGAGACCTAACCACTATTCCATATTGATGCCTTAATGGCTTGTGGAAATTTAGACAATTTAATTTCAGACAATGTTAACGTTTATTCAGATCTTCAAAAATCAGTACAATGGTTAGTATGGCTTTCTTGCAGCACTGAGGCCCTGGGTTCAATTCTGGACCAGGGTGTAATTTGAGTATATTTTATGTGTTCTCCCTGTGTTGGTGTGAGTATTCTCCAGGTGCTCTGGTTTCCTCCCACATACTCGTAGGTTAAATGGCTCCTGGGAAAATTGGTTCTGGTGTCTGTGTCTGTCTGCCTTACAATGGACTGGTGGCCTCTCCACGGTGTCTTGCGACCTTTGCTTCCCGGCATAGTCTCTGGCTCCCCCGCTACCGTGAACTGGAAGAAGTAGTTAGAAAATAAATGGATAAAAAACTCTGTATTGGTGCATACTACATAAATATTTGACTTTGCCCCTTTAAAACAAAAAGTGTGTATCTGCTTAGAATACTTTGAAGAATATAATTTAGCAGATAATATGTCTTAAAAAAAGAAGCATGTGAGTATTATAAATATTTTAATATATCTATGTATATATAAATTTCTATTTCATTTATTCTCCTATGCTTCTCCATGAAGTGGATAAATGAAGATTGAGAAGACTGAGTTTGATTAGAGGATTTCAAACTGAGAATATCTCTGTATAGAAGACCTTTTCAAAGACTGCTTGCATTCTCCTCCTCCATTTTTAGATGTACTTTTGCTCTGGCTGTTTTGGCTTGGCTGCATATTCAAGTCCATAAACGCTTGAAGTTGTTTTTCATTTTTCTTTAAGAAAAGAGATTTCGACATCAAACTTTATTTTGAAAGATCCCAGCATTCCCAGTTCCTTAACATAGTTTGATAATTTAATAATATTGTAGTGATTATTCTATTAATTTTAACACTCAGGGCCCAATTGTCTATTGGTAAGCTTCCAGTTTGATCTGCATTATATACTGTAATCATTATTTCAATTTAAAATAATATCAAGGGTCAAATATACTTTAACATTCTACAAAATGCCAACTATCTTTTATTAGAAAGTGTGTGCCCTCAGTCTGTCCTAGAATGAGTTTTGTCTGCATTCCAGATTGGTGTAACAATAGTATTGTGTAGTTTCATCACTTCTGAACAGAACTTCTGTTATGGCTGTGAAAGTTTTTTTCTCTGGATTACATAATGTAAACCTTCTGTGGCAGTTTTATGATTTTGTATTACTCATGCCATGTTTACAATTTCGTTTACCTACTTGGACCTTTTCTGCCCTTGCCTGAACCTCTTGGAGTGTCGAATATTCTCTGTAATGGATCCCCCAGTCCTTATTCTTTAGAGATAAGGAAGAGTAATTGCCACCAAATGTTGTGGGACTCCACTTCTGGAATTGTGTAATAGACTCCCCTTAGTAGTACTGCCAAAGAACAATAATGAAGGAAGCTTTGAATGAACATACATTATCATGAACTGCCTCTCATTGGGTACCCTGGGAACCATCTCTAATGCTTTCAAATAGTTTATATCTGCTTTATCTTCTACATGTGTTCAATTCTGCTAGAATTCTTACTTTAAGAATTCTACAGCGCATATGCTGTTAATCTGTTGTACTGGTGTGAATGTATAGATATGGTTTTAACTTGTTCCTTATTGTAGACTAAATTTTATAATATGCCAACGTTAAGTAAAATGGAACCTTAACTTCCTATGGAAATGATTCCTTATTTGCATGATGTTGGATGCGAACATTTTCATGCAGATCCTGCGCACAGGAATTCTTCCATTTCTGTCTTTCACAGCTCAGTTATTGTTTCTTAGAACTGTTTATTACATTTCCATTTATTACATTTTATCTATGAGCTCTATGAGCTCTATGAGGTGGCTCTGTTGCCACGGATCTGTGCCTGTTGCTGGAAGGTTGCTGGTTCAAATCCTGTGGCTGGCAGAGGAATCCTACTCCCTTGGGCTCCTGAGCAAGACCCTTAACCCCAACTACTCCAGGGGCCCTGTACAATGATTGACCCTGTGCTCTGACCCCAAACTTCTCTCCCTGTCTGTGTGTCTGTGTTTCATAAAGAGCAAGCTGGGGTATGCAAAAAGATTAAATCCTAATGAAAGAAATTGTATATGGCCAATAAAGTGATCTTTTTACAGTCTTTTTGTTGTAAAAAAATAATTTACCATATTTTTCCCTTGTAAAATCTGTTAATCATTGAATGTTTTGTTGTGGTTTCAGGATCATGGAGCCTGCAGTTTGAAAAAGGTAACAGTGTGGTTGTCCTGCGGAATTTACTCTGGCTTGGTCTCACATTTTATCATGTTCCAATGACTCCACAACATGGATACATCTACATGGGGACAGGCCTGAAGAACATGGACTTACCTTTCATGTTATAGGATAAAAGCAATTTGCAACCAAAAGACATTCAGTTTTAGGTGTAAGATCATATCAGTTCTTTCCTTTTGGATGTGGAAACTTGATTTAAATAAACATTTTGATAATATTAATATATTCCATATTTTGTGATTTGATATCCTATAACTACACTATATACGTTTTCTGAATGTTTAATAATAATAATAATTGCTTACACTTATATAGCTCTTTTCTGGACACTCCACTCAAAGCGCTTTACAGGTAATGGGGACTCCCCTCAACCACCACCAATGTGCAGCATCCACCTGGATGATGCGACGGCAGCCATAGTGCGCCAGAACGCTCACCACACATCAGCTATCAGTGGGGAGGAGAGCAGAGTAATGAAGCCAATTCATAGAGGGGGTTTGTTAGGAGGCCATGATTGATAAAGGCCGATGGGAAATTTGGCCAGGACGCCGGGGTTACACCCCTACTCTTTTTGAGAAATGCCCTGGGATTTTTAATGACCACAGAGAGTCAGGACCTCGGTTTTACGTCTCATCTGAAGGACGGCACCTGTTTACAGTATAGTGTCCCCGTCACTATACTGGGGCATTAGGACCCACATGAGCTGCAGGGTGAGTGCACCTCTTCCAGCAGCAACCTTAGTTTTTCCCAGGAGGTCTCCATCCAGGTACTGACCAGGCTCACACCTGCTTAGCTTCAGTGGGTTGCCAGTTGTGAGCTGCAGGGTGATATGGCTGCTGGCTAAAACAGTCTGACTCAGAATGTGTCAAAATCCAGGTTTAATGGACTTTATACTAGAATACCAATGTGATGACTGGAGCTTTTCATGTATTGTATGTGTAGGCTGGAACTGACTTGAAGAAATTCAAAATCCTAAAAAAAGAATTAACGAGTCAATGTAAAGAACTACTTCCAGCCCAGGAAGGAAACCATGTCCAGAAGTCAAAAATGTTGTTTTCATAAAAAACTGAAGTTATTTTTTTAAAGTTACAGTAATTTAAATACACTCTAACCATCCTTTAGAAACTGATTTAGTAGGGACTTTAAATCTTGAATCAATTAACTAACAACCAAACAAATCTGAGTTCCGCATCTCCTTAATTTTTTGTCCTTCCCATAATTGTAAAGTTGTTAGGAGTTAACAATCACAGAATAGTTTTATTTTGAAACTTGAAACTACAATCAGAATAGAAATTTTGCTGCATCCATTACTGGAATTATCCATTTTAAATTTTAAATGCACTTTAGTGTCATAATCATTCAACTTCAAATTTAACCTTTTTTCATACTGATGGTGAATGTCAAACATTAACTGCAATGCTGTGCAGAATCTCCAGGTGTCCATAAAGGCATTGGGATAATTATAAACAGCTTTTAGGTAAAGTTACTTTTTTAAAGGTAATGCTTTACAATTTCAAGTTAGTTGTATAAGGGATCACTTCTTAAAAATATGTTACAAGAAACTGCAGTGACACTTTATTTGAATGTTGTTGGATAATGGCTTAACAAGATGTTATAATCACAGGCATAATGCATTACAAGGACATGCAAATGATGTAACATGCATAAGAGGTCATTTGTACCAGCTGCCATAAACATGTTTTCTAACAATAAATAAATATCATGACCTCTTATGCACTTTATGTAATGTAATGTCCTGTTAAAGATTATGAAGGTGATTCATCTAAAATGTATTTGATACAGTGTTGTATATTGGAATAAAATATTAAACAAAAATATCAGTTGATTAGTTGATACTTAGCTAAAACAAAAATTTTGAACAATACTGTCAGAGTGTAACAGTATTGTTTAAATTATTTCTATTTAAATTATGTTTTTGAATGTAAATTTCTCAATCCAACTTCTATTAAGAAACATTTGTGCAATAATTGAAACAAAGGTATTTTATTTATATGGCAACACAGGTATTTTTATTTACATAGTACTTTATTTTGGGACCTTGTCAAACACAAGACACATACCAGATAATTCCTTTCTCTTTTTTAAAGTACAAAACAAATGTTTGGTATATGATTACAATTCGAAAATTTGAATGTAAATGCACTGTCAATAAAATGCATTTCAAATTAAACTTTTACAGCATTTATTTGTGACAAAAAATGTACACTAGCCTATAAACTGTACATTACATTCCAGGTAGTTTCAGTATATTACAAAGCTATGGAAAGAAATACAGTTCTGCAAAGTGTACAGCTAATGCCTTTATACAATTTTTCACAAATCTATGATGTTTTTTTATCTGGCCAGTATAAATATTCAAACCTTGAATGGATAAAAATAGGTGGATGAATGAAAAAATTCTACCATGTATTTGTTATTGCATTTGCTTTTAATTATCAGATTTTGTAACATTTTTCAGTGGTTTATATAGTATGGTTTCTTCCCATATTGGACATTATCTTGCAGTTTATAGTGGCCTACAGGCATTGGTTTCTTGCACCATTTCAGTCCTTTTTTCCAAATAGGCTTCACTGTGTCAACAGACCAACGGGTTAAATACCTATAAAGAAACAATAAATAAAAATACATTAACACCGGTTCCGTATTCACACTGTAAAATTCTGGCGATATCTGAAAAATCCCAATCTAAAAAATTAACATTAAATTGAGCAGAAATATTGCATTTCACTATAGTTTACCATTTCAAAACAAAAGGTTAAAGGAATGATGTTATAATCTTACTCCATATAATATAGACATTAGCACTCTAGACATAGAAATATAATCTATTACTGTCTACTATTGTCTAGTCTGTTCATCCAGATCATTTTTATGTTGGTTGAAAGAAGTTTCTTCTCTGTACAGATTTTCATTCAGCAGCTGAATGAGATTAGGGTAAGGGGATTTGCCACAGTAGTTAGCATAAAGGGGCATCAGGACATTCTACCGTGTATCTGCAAATTTTAAATGTGGCACTGCTATTAGAGATTTTGCACAAAAACTGATTCCCATTGTCACATTCATATAATCCTGTAGATCAGTGATATTCACTCCTGGTCCTGGAGAGCAGCTGTGTCTTCTGCTTTTCATTCCAGCCTGGACTCTTAATGACTTAATTTGAATCAACTGTTCTCATAGTTGGTCTCTTCCCACTGTTTCCAGGTCTACACTCATTGACATTTGTAAGTTACCTATAGAATGTGATGGAAAAATATCCTTCATGGACTGGGAGTAAATATTGCTCCTGTCAATTTCTGTACTAATATGAATTTTACTATTCTTGAAGAAACATCACCTCATGAGTTTGCTGGAAAGACATTCACTAGATCATCACATATAAAAGTCAGTCTGGAAGCCTTGACATCAGTTTTGGAGAGACTGGGGTTTCTTCATCAAACATTTCTATACTGTACATACGAGTGCAAGAGTGACAAACTGTTCTTAGGTCCTTAAAAACAGCACCGTTGAGCTGCCAATAGATGTTTTATTTCAATCAGTAACTCAATGGCTGACTTTGATTAGGCTACACTTCTATACCTTCTCATCTATGCAAAGGGGTAAGCAGGAAACAGTTTAGGGATGCAACTGCAAAGCCAGCAGTGACTTTGAAAGCTCTATGTCTGAGATTCAGTGTTTATAGTGTGCTAGTGCCTATATAAAGCTGATGTGTATGGGTAAAAAGCAATAAAGCAGCCACAAATGAAAATGTGTTTGCAATAAAGTATGCAAATGATATTGTGGACACGTGAGACTATTTTGTGGTCAGACAAAACAAAACTGAACTTTCACAGGATTCCCCACAGTCAGCTATATTTCTGCTTTGAAGCATCACATTATGGAAATGTTTCTCATCATCAGGGACAGGGAAGTTTGTCAGGATTGAGAGGAACTAGATGGTGTTAAGTATAGCTAAATCCTAGTCAGCAAAAAATGTGATTTTTTCAGCACAGTTTTAAATTTCAGCCGGACAACGGCCCAAAGCCCAAGGCCAAGGCCACACTGGAGTGATTTGACAAGAAGAGTGTGAATGTCCTTGCCTTGAATACCCTAGTTAAAATCCAAGCCTGAATTCTAAAGAAGATATATGATGACACTCCATCCATCCATCCCCAATTAACTTGTCAGAGATGGAGTGACATTTCCAGGAATAATGGGCAGAAATTACACCATCCAACTGTGCACAGCTGGTAGAGATCTGTCTTTAAATACAGACTTAAATACTTCCAGCTAGTCCTGAATAATTATGAAATCCATAAATTGGAATTTACTTTTTTCTGAAAATTGTCTTTTGCATATAACAAAAGAATGTGTCCAGCTTGATCTTTGCAGTTTTAAATAAACAATTTATATTTGCAACTTACTAAAATGAGACAATTGGTAAGGGGTAAAACAAAATCACAGTGCATTGTATACTTTATTGGTAGTTACAGTAATACAATCTATTGTTATAAGATGCAGACATTTTTTAATAAATAGAACACACTTTGAGGAGCACTACTACCAGACCAGCTAGGAGGACTGTATGGATTCTGGTCCTAATTAATCTTATGATAAAGTGCTAACTAGTTCAACAACTACTATGTTAAATCATGTTAAGACAGGAACCAATTTAGGTCAACTAGCTGGTAAACACAGACTTAGGATCCACGGCACTGATATTACAGTGTTTAGTGTTCAAGAACAATCATTACAGATTTTTTATTCCCATCAACTTCAGGTACAAAACAAACATAATAAAAGATTATTTGAAATCATTTTTTAAAACAAAAAAAATGACTTATTATCCATTCTACCACAAATAAAAAATATTTAACCTGCTGTAAATTAATCTTGGAGATTGGACATAAAAACCTGTTACAAAAGAAGTTATCTTCTCTTTATACCTTTTTATCATCCAATTGTCATTCTGTTCTCACTAGCATTTTTAAGCAATTCACTCCTAATTTTTTTTGCTCTTTAATGTGATATTTTAGCAGTGTTTGGAATAACAAACATTCTTGACTCTTAATATGAATAATCTGAAGAAAGCTTTTATATATATATTTGTGTTTCACTGGATACAGCCTTTTAAAAAAATACCCCCATTTAAAACACATATGTTGCACTATCAGCATTTTTGGCAGTTAATATGATTTATGTTAGTGTTTGTAGTTTCAAAGCAAATTTTCTTTCATACTAGTTGCATGTTAAAGCTTTAAAGAGGTTTGTTCTCTTACGCACTGCACTTGCCATACTCCATCAGTTAGTTAATAAATTATTAATGATCAATTTTGCATTTATCAGGCCAGAACAATACATCTCTCTTTACATTTGAACTAATTACCTCTTTTTTTTTCATTACACCACTCATTCATTTTCCAAAACAAAAACTAGTTTGCTTTTATTTCAGTAATATCCATAATGTTAAACTGGAACCCTTCCCTTAATGACAACATTGGTCAAAGGGCACAGATACTTTCTGCTTTGATGAAAAACAGACATTTTAGCAGAGACGTGAGGTGAGGAGTAATTCTCAGTTATATTTCTCTGGTGTCCTCTTTAATAATTCTAGAAATTGAATGCATTTCTCTGTGGCGTAGAACAATGCATATATAGATGTACCTTGATATTAAAAATTGATAAATAATTGAATCAAGGTTGAAATTACGATCACTAAGAATCTTTGTCATGTGTGACAACTTACCCCCCCCCCTAACTTAGAAAGTTTTCTCACTAGACTACGATGTATGTATCACAAGGGACATACAAGTTAGAAACAGCAATGTGTGAGAAATAAGCAAAGTAAAGATTGGCCATCTGGAAGTAAAGGACTGTTCCTCCTGCCAGCAAGATAATGAAAGCAAGGTGAAGCAAGTTCATGAGAAAAAATCAGTAGAACCAAAACATCGGCTTGCTCTATGCCAATGGCAAGATACAAGAGAGATACCCTTTTAATGCTGAAGACTCAATTAAACATGTTAGAGAGTAACAGTAAAACTAGTGAATAATCCAAAAAATTAAACTACAACATCCTTCCTCTTTTTCCTCCAAAACTTTTATCAATCCATCATACAACAACACTCAATTTATGACTGCCAGGGTGTGAAGGCTGAAAAACAGTTCTATACAAACATCGTGCAGTCACAACAAGGAGATTTGAAGATCTTTATAGTGAACGTTTGAGTATTCATCTTCTTAAACTGTGTAAATTTAGTCATGCAGCTTCACAAAGTAATGGATGGAGGTCTTTTGCTTGATAACCATTTTTAAAATGAGCTAGATAAATAGGTACGTAAGCCTATCCTTTATTTAACCTTCTATATTACGCACAGATCTGACATGCCAAGGTCTGAAGAAATGATAGCACCAAATTAGGTTCTGGGAAATAACAGATCTGATGTGCAAACACAATGTTATTTGTTTTAAAGTTGGCAAGCACGTTGGACAAAATGTACCCAATGCATTTTATACAGTCATTTATCTGAATTAGTTAATGAATGAAAGGGCAAAGTAGTGCTGGTCAGCCAGAAATAAAGTCTTCATACATATTGTTGCTGCAGTACATAGTGCCTTCTTGGTGTACACAACAGATGTGACATTATTTTTTAGTTAGATTCCTTTTTCTACAGAGTTTGTAATTGGAACCTCTAGAAATAGTGAATTAACCATTTTTTTTGTCTGTAGTACAGCCTCCTAATATCAGTCTTCTACTTGGTAGCAGATCTTACACAATGAACAAAACCAAACTAACAAATACAGATGTACTCTACTCTATTTTCTGCTGCAGTTTTATTATCATCTTTGTGTTAAAACTGCTCATTTTAACATTGCTTTAACATTTATCACTCTTAAAATACATTTTCTGTTGATTGAAAGCGAGTCTTTACAGAGAGCTTTGTTTTACATTCAACAACTTATAAATGTACTGTATAATGCAACACATATAGGCCACTTTAACAAAGAGAAGGACAAAGGCAAGATTCAGTATTAGTGCTCTGTAGTAACTAGTTTTCCTGTCACTGTAACTCAGCACAAAAAACAGTTTCACAATCATGATGTTAAAGAGGTTGCGAAAGGAAAAATTGTGAGGTTTAGTTAATGATGCAATTTCACTTGTGACTTTAAGTGTGTGGTAAAACAAAAACAATTGGTATAGGTGTTCTGTACATTTCTATGCCGTAAATTAATTTTAGTAAACTCTTTCTTTGATATAAAAAGCCTTACACAATGAGTCCCCATTATATTAATTGCATATTGCTTGTGTGACTACAATGTTTTATCGTCTAAGGAATTGAAACATACAAATATTACTCTTTGGACATCCATAGATTTGTAACCGGTCTTTTCTGCAGCCATTCAAGTCATTCCCATCAGTCTCCTTGTTTATAGACTTCAATAACATTTTCAATGCAGCAGTGCCCAAATTGACCCCAATGAGGAGGACAGTTTAGTTAACACGCAATGCCGTCTACAGCAAACTTGACAAACTTGCTCCTTTACCGTCTTAAAGGTATGTGCTTTCTCCCCCAAACAAGTACATATACCATAATTGTCAGGACTGTAATCATATATATCAGTTAT